TGATATCAAGAAATGGTGTCTCATAGTGATTTCAGATTTAGCTCTTCCAACCTTTTTCTGGCTGTGTATTAAATGAAACAATGAAAGAAGAAAAAGCATTCGGCAAAAGAAAGGTACAGTCTGAGAAAGTTTTCACATACACAGCAGTTTGCTAAAGTATCTTCGAGTCATGGAACCAAGAAAATACAAAAACTTTCTCTGGATACACAATGCAGCGTTATGCATACACACAAGCTTTTATTTCTAAAACAAAACTTGAAACAGCATTAGAAATATTAATGTAAACCCTCATAACATCAATAAATCTATGCATTAATTAAGGTTAAAGCTACGTTCACTGCTTGAAGCGGAAAGTTTAGCACAGAACTTAAATAACTAAAAATTGCTACATTCCAAGTTTCTGCAGTTATTTAGTTTATGTGTTATGCTTCCCACATTGCAAATTTGAAAGATGAAAAGACCATGTTCCATACACTTTAAATGTGTATTTTAAAATAGAGCACACTATAATTCAGTGGATTTAAATGGTTGCATATAACAAACTCTCTTGTTTTAAAAACTTTTCTAAGCCTTAGCAACATAATCATTTCGGCACAGAACACATTCTATATATAATACATGATTCAGTAACTAAATCAGATTAACATTTTTTTCACTGCAAACAAAATCCCCCTGCACTTGGCGAATTGGTAACCAAAAATGTATTACTTTCTGTGTTCAGCATATGATACAGCAGAAGCACAGAACAAAGCAATTTTTAGGCAATTAGGTAATATACGAGTTCTGAACATTGTTTTAAATTAAAACCTAATAAATGCAAAAAAATCCAATACGTTTGAAGCTCATCAAACAAACGATCAATTCAATGTTTCAATTTTAAAAGCATATTATTGATTTTTTGATAAAAATCGATATTGATTAGAGGCCATCTGGGTGCCTTATTCAATGGAGGTCATTTCAATTAAAATAATTAAAAATTAATATTATTTACTATTTACTTCATTTAATTAAATTTAACAAATTATTAATAAGCAAATAGCATACCTCTCCTTCAGTTTCGGTAACTAATCCGATCTTGTCTTCGGTCAAATTTTCTTCGGATGACTTTCCTTCTTCGTCGCCTTCATCGTCATACACTTTCACCTCATCAGCAGATGCCAAATCTTCCCCGGACGTCATATCGCAGGAGCCAAGAGAAATGAAACAATTTTTCGGTATTTACAAAATTCAATAATATAAAAATTAAAAATAACTTTCTCGTGGGTCAAAAATTTATAATATCCACTTTCTCCCCAATTTCACTAATTTCCGACGATGTGCGATCGAATTGTAAATAACAACCCGAAAATTTATAATTGTATTATAAAAAATTAAGTCATCATGAAATGATAATTTAACGCCAATAAAAATTTAATTTGAAAAAATGTTGAAACATCGCGTACTGAAAATTTTAACTTTGATATCAAATTTAAATATCCCACTTCAATAAAAGATTTAAATGTAAACTCGCGCTTTGAAGCTAACACATCAAAGAACATCTTACAATGGATTTTATCAGCCAATAGAAAATCGTTGTCGTAAATTTTAAGCCAATGAGAACCAAGATAAATAGGTCATTCGCAGCTAAATAATATTTAGGGCGTTTTAAACGAATAATATGTTTTAAAGCTACGCTTTACTTTCTATGTAATACGAGTCTCTTGTGAGCGTACATCGATTATATAGGTGATCATCAAATTAATATTGATCATCAAATGAAAGCCAAAAACTCCTCATTTAACTCTTTTTATCTCATTTTAAAAATTTTATTGTTTAAAAGATTAAATAATTTATTTAATCACGCATCAAAGCTCCGTTAACGGGTAAACTTAATATAGCGTTTTTATGGATATGTTTTCATTTCTCTGGTTGATATATATTTTATTATATAGTATAATGCATAATATGCTTTTATTAGGTATATATATATATATGTTTAGGTGTGTGTATGTGTTTGTGCGTGCACATTTGCTTTGTATATAGTATAGCATATATAACAATTTTTATTTGTATTTTGCTCATCAAATTGGCGCATATATACGTATTACTGATTTTTAAAGAATAATAAAAAAAATTACATTTATTTATTCATATATGGGATGTGTATATACATTATTTTGTATTATTTTTTTCACGTGAATTCACACTGTGTAGGACTTAAAACCGTTATTTTTACCTTTGAAGTAAAGGGACGCCCTGTCATTCATTACAATTACGATATGCGAAACGCAAGAATGTTGCACTTGCGTGCAGACGAAAACGTTTTATTGTACATTGCATGTAAAGGACTTAATTACATTGTGAAAAAAATGCGTTTACTAAAATTTTAAATTGCAAGCGAAAAATATCGGTAACGTAATGTCAACCATGGAGATATTGATACGTGAAAACTATCTCACAACTTTGTTTTACGTTTAATACGCATTAGGTCTATATGGCGTTCCAGCCAAGCAACAGACTTGCAATCAACAGTTATTATTCCATTATATTCAATAGCGAATTCAAGTTGGAAAAGAGTTGGAAAATTGTACACGCGACCTTTATGGCGTTTAAATGTCTCTCTATATATAGGATGTATTATATATATCAACGCACCATACGATTTCCAATTTGTTTATAAAAAAGTTAAAGTTCTGCGTTTGTCAAAATTTCAACGACGGAATTTCTAAAAATAAATTTGGCTATGTCAGAATTTTAAGGTGGGAATTTTTACAAAATTACGTGGCTTTAAAACCCCGTGAACAAGAGCAATCTAGTACGTAATACGACATTTTTACCTGTCGAAATAAAATCAGAATTCTTGAAAAACATCGGAGTTTTCGGTATCGGTTCAATTTTACGGTTTGTTTATTATATTATATTAATGTGCGTGCTATTATTTCAATGCTTTTAACTCTGCTGCTCGTCCAGTCGCTCGTGCCCCTATCTTTTCTCATATATATCTCCATATCTTGTTCTCTTTCACTGGCTAGCTGTAAAATAAAGAATAGTTTTTTTAATTTGCAAATTACCGTATAAGTCTCTGTTTAATTGGTGCGTATCCTTCAACTACAAATTCAATAAAAATTTTGATGAAGAGAGCAGTAAGGGTTATAAAGCTATCTAAACAACTCACCCATATAAGTCAACTTTTCTTCTCCACCAATGATTTAAATTTTGGTTTTTATTTTTTAAGTCTGCCATTTACGATTTTATGGTCATAGTATAATTACTATATACTATGACCTATATATATATATAAATATATATTACCTTTCCATTCTTATTCATGGAAAGGTAATATGTCATAAGACATATTACTCTTCAAGCAACTTTCCAATAAAGCTTTCTCCAAAGTTTGACGATTATTTTAAAAGAGTCACCAACCCTAGACGTGTCAATTATCTGATGGCCAACACCTTATCATCCATCATCTAACTCAAACACCATCCAATCAGAACTCGACTCATTAATCACATGGTCAAAACGATGCAACCTTTCACTTAATCTCAATAAATCATTCGAACTCATCATTCACAATAGCCGTAAAAAAATAACATTACCTCCTGAACACCCATCAATCACTCGCACAAATCAACTGAAAATATTAGGCATCACATTCACCTCCACATTCAATATAGCACCTCATATCAATTACATCATCACAAAAGGCTTTCAAACATTTCACGCACTCAAAACATTCCGTTCACATGGTCTCAGAGGCATCATATTATTCGACATCACCGAATCACTCATCATCTCACGCATCAAATATGCAGCTCCCTCCTGGTCTGGTTTTGCCACGCAACAACAACTTCAGCAACTACAATCTCTCATCAAAAAACTAATTCGCTTCAACTACCTACCTGCATCATATCCTACCGTCACTCAGATATTCAACACACTCGATTCAAGGCTGTTCAAGAAAATAGAAAATAACAACAACCACGTCATCCATCCTCTACTACCACCAATCAAAAGTACTATAAACAACCTTCGTCAGCGCAAACATAACTATCAAGTCGTCACCCAATCTACATACCAGGAAAAGACCTTCATCACAAGGCACCTCAAACATATTAGCACTTAAGAAAACTATCATTACTGAACTAGTTTTTACTTATTGATCACCTCACTTTTATCGATCACCTCACTAACTCACTAAGTCATCATTTAGTCTATTAATAAGTCATCAAACATATTAATACTCATTAAAACTTTTTCACTCAAAGGCCTAGCCTTCATTTATCAATCACCTCACTAAGTCATCATCCAGTCTATCAATTTGCCGTTACTTCATTTTATATTCCATCGTCAATTACTTTTCTTTTATTTTTCTTATTATTATTATTTATTTTATTCTAACATATTTTATTTTTCTTGTTTTATCATTTCTCTTCCTCCCTTTTTGTATTTATTTTCTCACTTATTTGTTTCTCACTTATACTGCCTTGCATGTTGTTACAGTTTCTGCGTCTGTCAGATCCTGATTTTTAAAGAATAATAATAAAAAAAAATTAATTCAAATTTCCCATTACTTCTGTTCGACATACGTTAATTTGTGTACATTTGGATACGGGTGGCTGTGCTAGATGAGTTCTCCATGAACTTTATCACAGTCATCCTGGCTTCTTTTTTTGAAGTTAATAAAAGATCGTATTGTATCGTATCGTATCGTATGCATGTGTCTAATATAAGGATGTATTTTGCACTATGAGTATACATTATAAGTATATGGTGTATAGGTTTATAATATTGGATTGCGCTATATGGTGAAATTACCAAAAGTGTTTCGACTATTAGTTGTATAATTTAAATGGTGCGCCTAATTGAAGTTTTTTAAAAATGAAATTCATTATTCAGAAGTAGATAATTTTCCGTCCGCACGCTTTGTTTGGGAATTTTAAATTATTATCGCTATGTTGAGCGTTTTGTTTGTTGTTTACTAAAATCAGCTAGATACGTTTTTTAATGAATTGAAAATGGACCACACCTCCTACACCACAGAATTGCACAAAATTGAAGATGAACTCACCAGAGTGAACCAGAAAATTAAAGAGCTGGCTGATTGCAGAAAGTCATTACTGCAGCGAAAAAAACGTCTTGAACAATTATGCTCAGTCAGTACCAGTGGTACAGAGTTTTTATCAAGATGGAATAAAACAGGTAGGTAGCACATGGGAAAAGCTAGCAAATTAAGCTCAGCTTAGTTTTATTTAATTTATTTAATTTTAAGAGGCTATTTTAATTTTGGGTAAATTAAAAAGTATTGTAAATTAAATATTTTAATCAATGAAATGATAAATAATTTTTTTAAGTTTATAATGGTATTTTTAGTGATAATTTTTAGTTGGTTAGTGTCAGAATTAGGTTAAGTAACATTTGTAGACTTTAGTTAGACAAGGGACTTTACACTTTACTTTTTTAGAGGTAGCTTACTTAGATAGCTTTTTCAATTAAATTTTTAAAGATTGATTAATATAAAATTTATAATAATATTAATATAATAATTATATTTTTAATGAAATGTTACATATATTATTTAATACTTAATATATTTTCAAGTTAAATTCAGTTGCATATTTTTTTAATAATTTCTTGGTTAATTTTCTAATCTTATTGCTTAATCTAATGCTTACATATTCACTTAATCTATGCACTACAGATATTTTTAATTATTTTATTGTTTAAATTAGTTAAACATGAAGACATTGTGTTTCATATTGTTGTTTTTTTTGATTTGCAGATTTTTTGTGGTCGGACAAAGTCTCAGAATTGTTGAATAACAAATTCAAATTGAAAGAATTCAGGCAGCAACAGTTAGCAGTCATCAATGCTACATTATCAAGCAAAGACTGTGTTGTGGTTATGCCAACTGGCGGAGGGAAAAGTCTTTGTTATCAACTGCCTGCTCTAATTTCAAAAGGTTCCTATTGTTCAATAACTTGGGTTTGTTATGTATAAAAATTTTGTTCCATAAAAATATTTACTCTACACTGACTAACAACACTTGTGGGCTTATTTAATTTTAGTTTAGAAGTTTGATATCTCAATATTTCTTCCTCTAACTATTCCTTATCTTAACATTCAAGGCTTCAGGTTTATATTGTTGGATAAGACCGAGTTTTTTAATAAAGTGTCTCAAATATTATCCATAATACTTTAAATAGATTTCAGTCAGTCAAAGAATCTATTTACATTTGTTACTAAACAGATAAAAAACTGAAAACGTCTTACTCTTGTTTTCTTCAGATATTCATTTTGGTAGAGAAATAACATGCACACATTGTCTCGTATTCATACAGGATTCACTTTAGTTGTAAGTCCTTTGATATCACTCATGGAGGATCAATTGATTCAGTTAAACAGCTTGAATATCCCTTCAAGACTGCTAAATGCTTCAACGCCAAAAGAGCAAGTAACTTCCATACTTAATTCAATGACTGATAATAAAGATTCATTCAAGTTACTGTATGTAACTCCTGAAAGATTAGCTAAAAGCAAAAGGTTCTAATTTTGTAATCAGTTAGTTACTATTTAAAGAAATAAATTATTTAATTGAAAAATTAAAATCGGTTATTAGTACAATTGATTAGTTTTTTTGTCTTTCAAATAAAGGTTCATGAATAAACTCGAAAAGGCATATGAATGTAAATTGTTAACCAGAATAGCAATTGATGAAGTTCATTGTTGTTCACAGTGGGGTCACGATTTTAGACCAGGTAATATTAAATTTATATAGGGCTGATTTTTATTCAGTGCTTGTAAATTTATACATACATTTACTTAAGTAAATTCTTTTGTGATTTTTTTAAAAGTAAGATTGTGTGTTTTATTTAGAATGAATTTTTTTATTTTACAACAGATTACAAATTTCTGAATGTGCTCAAAAGACAATTTCCAACGATCCCACTGATTGGGTTAACGGCTACGGCAACAAATGATGTCATCGATGATGTCATGAAAATGCTCTCCATTCCAGAAGCTCTGATATTCCGCTCTCCTCTTAATCGTTCCAATCTTTTTTATGAGGTTTGACATTCCAAAATAAAGTTTTTAATTAAGCAAATTTTCTTTATCCTCATGATATTCTCTGGAAACTATCTCGCAAGCTGTTAGTTAGAACAATGTCAAAATGATTTTTTTTTTGAGCTTACATTTTACACTTGGAAAATAGATTAATGGATTAATAAAAGTTGAGTTGTTCAATAGACCACTCTTTTGTTTTATTTGAAATATACATCGATTGTATAAAGATATATTAGGGTGATGTTTTCACTACATTTTTTTTCAGTTTTTAAAAATAAAGCATTATATTTAGTTCATAAATTTAAAAAGGTTAGAATGAAACCAAGAAATAATAAAGAATTCACCGAAGAATTGCTCAAGATGATCACCAAACAATTTAATGGACAATCAGGTAATGCTGCACAGATAAGGGTAAAATAGAATAATCAAATACTTTTTTAATGCTTTTTCTTTACATATATTAGCTAAAATGGTTTCTGAAGTTAATCCAGTTTTTGTATTTCTGGGATGTTTTTAATTAAAAATTGATGGTTGATATTTTGTCTGTTAGAGTGACTAACGAAGCTTTTGATGCTTTTAACATTTAGCGTTCATAGGATGAAAATGGACCAAATTTTTCATAATTTCATCATTCACATTTAATTCAGCACGATCATAATTCACATTTTATTATTTCACCAGGCATTATATATTGCCTTACTCAAAAGGACACAGAGGAATTGACAAAAGAACTGAATAACAAAGGAGGCCGAGTTGCTTGTTACCATGCCAATATGGATGTTGATCATCGAAATAAGGTTCATCTGAAATGGATTTCTGGTGTCATTCAAGTCAGTAACTGACATTGTTTCTTGTTCAACTTTACTTTTGTTTTCACTGTAATGAGATATCTTTGGTTTTTGATTTACATTTCAAATTCCTGGTATTCTAAAAGAGAGTGAATATCTGTTATTTAGACATGTTTTTTCAAACATTCATTCTGGGTTGATTAGTTTGAAAGGCTAATGATAATCTACATTGAAGGTGGTGATAGCGACTGTTGCATTTGGCATGGGCATCGATAAGTCGAATGTTCGTTTTGTGATTCATCATTCCATCAGCAAGTCTATGGAAAATTATTACCAGGAAAGTGGACGAGCTGGTTTGTTAATTTAAGTAGTCAAATTAATGATATGTTATTTTTGAGTTGATGGTGCATTTCTTGTTTGAATGTCATTCAATCATATTGTTGGATGAATATCTGATTTGATAAATTTGTCAATGGATGATTGGTTGATTGAGATTAAAATTAAATGCGTTCAATATAACAACAGGAAGAGATGATGTTCAGTCTCATTGCATATTGTACGCCGGGTTTTCTGATGTATCTCGACAGAGCACAATGGTCTTCACTGAAAAGACTGGACTGGAAAAGTTGTATGGAATGGTTGCCTACGCATACAACGTGCACGAGTAGGATTAATTTCAATGTTGTTTCATCACATACTGATTACATGGTAATTAACTTTTGTGCCTGACTGCTGTATTATGCTGTTGCAATGAAGAATATTTTGTTTTTCATAAGGATCATCTATTGAAAATTAAAATACTGTTGTCTGAACGTTTGTACGCAGTTGTCGCCGGAGTTTGATTTCCAATCATTTTGGAGAGAAATGGAGCAGTAACGATTGCAAAAGCATGTGTGATCATTGCACCTCTAATGATCAACAGCAAGGTTTTCAATGCTTTCAAATATTGGTCAAATGTTTTCGACTGTATGCTGCTGTTGTGACGCATATCACGTTACTGTTAGGTTTTCAGAAAAAATTTTTTGCATATTAAATGATTTTTTATATAATTATATATAATTCCAACAAATTGATTTCAAATATGTACACGTAATGTTTCAATTATATCAAAATTTCACAAACAAAATTTTAAAATTATAAATTTCTTTTCAGTTTAGTCTAGAATCTGGTCTCATGGTTTTTTGCAAATTAGTTGGTTGTAAATAATGATAAATTTCAAATTTTCAAATAAAAAATTGTTAACGTGCATTAGAAATAATATTACAAGTTAAAGAGGTAAACATTTGTTATTTGTTTTATCCAATGTTCTTCCATTGATAAGTTTCTTTCCCACATACAAAATATAATCTGCCATTGGTCTTGATAATTGTTCAAGGAAACTTCTTTCAATATTATTTTTATGTAAAATGATGCATACTGTAACGATCATTCGCAACATTTACATTTACATTTAGTCCATGTCAAGAGAAACATCGCTAAAGATTTGATTGACATACTGGCTATCATGAAAAAATGTCAAGATTCGAAACAAAGAATTACCTCATTAAAGCTTTTAGATTTGTGGATTGGTTGGTGCATTTTAAAATTAATTATTGGTTTAATAATTGTTGTGTCTGTCATTTTGAAACTTGTTTTCTTATTTATTAAATGTAATTGTTCGCAAGTTTTGGTTGATCAATTATTACCTCAACAGGCAATCTCTTATACCGTTGTTTCGCTTTACCGTTATTCTGTTATTTACAATACTTCAATTTTTGAACTCTATCATCTGAGAACTGAAAATCTGTTTTGTCTCGATAGTTTCATTTATATTTCAACTTTTTAATTAGTTTACTATCGTATAAAAATAATTTAAACATTGGAATATATGTAATGCTGAATTGTTAACGTTACTGAACTCTCTATTTTTCCTATCAATACAACTTTTAAAAGTCACTAACTGTCAGCAATTTAAAAAAAAAATTTTTATTACCTAAAAATTGAACTTTTTAATTTGTTAATATTCAAGTCAGTAAAAATTTCACTCCATTATTTCAATATATTTAATGATTACATTCAAAAAATTTGATTATGACTTTTTTCATAAGGAAAGTCATCTGCTAGCACAAAAAAAAATAATGATCAAAGAGTCATTGATAAAGATCTTGGAGAACGAATTTTAATCCATTTATTGTTGGAAGGTTACTTAAGAGAAGATTTCCACTTTACGCCCTACAACACCATCAGTTATTTGTTACCAGGTTGGCTTGTTTCTCATAAAATGTTCGTGTCGTGGTGTTATTTTGTGTTCAGCTGAAAATAATTTATCATGTCCATCTTCAACATTTTTTCTAAATTGTTTATTTATTCCCATCGAGAATTATCTCATTTGCCATTTACTAAACGCTAATTTTTTCATTGTCTCATTTATTTCAATTATTAAAAAATTATAGAAATCATTATTAAAAAATTATTATTATAATTGATCTTAATCTTAGTTTATTTTCAATGAACAAACCAGGAAGCAGATCAGACGACGTGACCAACAGTCATGCAATTGAATTAATTCTTCCAACTATTACAAGAGAGACCAACAATACAAATAGTATACCAACAAAACGAAAACGCCAAATTGAGGAGATTGTTTTAAATGATGATGACGATGATGATGGCGATGATTTTCACGAGAGTAATAAACCTAAATGTAAGAAAATAAAAAGTTGAAATTATTTCTGAAAAAGCGTTTGACCTTCAATTCATTAAATGATTAAATTTCTTCCTTTTTCCATTGATATTGATTTTTAGCCATCGTTTGGATAGCCTACGTTTTTCACACCGTGAAGCTTGTTAATTTGTTGCTATTAGAACTTTTCTTGTATGTCGTTAATCAACTGCTCGTGTGTCATTATTAAATCGCCCTTATGACCAATCAGAAGTTTGAGTGGAAGCTTTTAAGATGGTCACAAAAACAAGAATACACGGTTTATTTGCTACGGCTAATTTTTAATATTTCCCAACATCCGTGTGTTCAATTCAACAATGACAACCTTGAAGTCATTAAGGAATGGAGAAATTTGTGGGAAGTTCATTTCGCTTGCTACGTTACATATCATCGATTCTGTGTTTGAATTTGAAAAAACGAGTAATATATGGATGGTAAATGTTTAATGGGCCTAAATAACGGATCATTAAAATATAATTTACACTAAAATCTCACTTTTTTGCTCAAAGCGCTCTTGAACAATCGCGTAAATGCTTGTGAGAAATAGCATGTGACGTGAAATTAGTATGTGTGAGTTCTGGTAAATAGAAACTCGAATACTTTACTGAGTGATTAAGCTTTTTTGCTTAAAGTGAAATTTATGTATAAAGTTCCGAAATGTTTATAGTTTAAACTTTAAAGTAAACCGGTGAGCCTGTGTATGCATGTGGTTTATTTAGCGTCTGAAATGATATATTAGCTCTTTTGAATGATGATGAATGGCGGATATAAAGTATTTATGAAACTAAGTTCCGAAATATTAATGAATATTCGTTAATGTCTAAGAAATTGCGATGCTTAGGTTTCGATAAAGGTCTGGTTGAATCATTGACAAGGCATGGTTTATTGTGCTGCAAAGTTTGTAAATTTTATTAGATGAAGAGTAATTTTTAAAATTCAATTAAACAGCTTGCAACATCTTTTTAATCATCTTTCTATCAATCTATTCAGAATATACAATACATGATCCAATTATTAAATTTGATTGGTAAGGTCGCAAGGAGAAGGTAACTAATGTCCTGAACTTATTTTTCATGCTGATTTCAATTTTGTATTTTCTTCATTGCTGGCACATAATGTTTTTTAAAGTTATAGCATAAAATGCATTCTAATGCTTAATTGTATTGTTTTATAGGAAATGTCAACATTCTTTTATGTACTATCTTAAAATTGCTATTTAAATTTAATTTAATAAAATAAAATCTGGTTACAAACTTTTTATATCATAGTTTCATATAACAAATGCTTAGCGAATGATTTTCTGGCATGCCCTTAGTCCGGGTTATCATGATACAATATCCAGCAGTAATCTCATATACTAGCATTTTGGAAACCTAAATATTTTTGTGAAAACATTTTCCCTGTTATCACTCACCATACCGAGATTTTTGAAAAAAAATTCTAGATAGGAGTGCAAAAAATTCTTTTTTAATGGCATGTTGTATCCAGTTTCTGGTAAGCATCAAGGAGATGTTAGATTCCTTCCTTTATGCAAATGGTGTTTTGTTAACTAGGACATTTTTGCAGAGCCATTTGCACAGGAAGCAACAATATTTGGTGAACCTTGCCTGCATACCCATCCACATACCATTAACTTTCAGATCTCCACAGATGTTCCACTGATGAGTTGCATAATGAATCACTTCAAGGAGGACTTTCATGTTTTTATACAACTCTTTCAGGTAGACAGAATGGCCAATTTGAATACTTGGTTTCACATTAACCCCTTAGAACAAGTAATGCAGATAATATGTGGAGCCCATGGCTTATCCTGATCTCCCAATAGAAAACAAAAGTGTAATTTGTAAATCTCTTTAGATATGTAGTAATAGAATGTCGTTGAGCTTTGGTTGTGAATGATCCGCATGCATAACAGAAAGGATCAGGATGATTTGAACAAGTTCTAGGCATGTCAATTGATAAATTAATAAAATATTTGCTTCAACAAATGAATCTAAAACTAAACACAATTTTGATTATAATTATAATTGTGTATATTTAAATTAAAAATTTGATTTACAAAAATCTAGATTATCATAAAATCGGTACATGTTAGAAAAAATCTCAACACAGATTTGGAATCTGCAAAAAATGCTGCAAGAATCACATAATGCTGCCTCTAATGCAAAAACCTTGTTGACTCATGTTGCATGATATGATGGTTGAAATATAATATTATAGTTATTAATTTTATTATTGGTTTTGATACTTAACATGGAGCTGAGTCATCTGAGGTGTAGCACTAATTATTTATCCTTAAATTTAATGATCATCACTAGTGTTACATAAATAATTGTATTTGCTATATATCATTTTTGTTATTATTTTTGTTTTTGCACCTTCTATCTATATTATTATTATTATTATTATTAATGTCGTCTAAACGTGTGTTGTTGTTATTATTATTATTATTATTATTATTATTATTATTATTATTATTATTATTGCATATTATTATAGCCTTAATTAAATTTATGTTACATTTTTTAGCCATCTTTAATTCAAATATAAATGATGAATTTATTTTTCATTTCATTCATTATCAGGATGTTCTTAACAAGTCAGCAGTGGAATTGATGATGATGTTGAAGATTAGCATCCAGACATCAACTTACATCATTGAGAAAGCTAGTGAAGCTTGCAAGCCTCTGCATCTTACGGTAATATATTATTCTCTGTTTATCGTTGGAACTTTGCAACTGGTTTTCATTTTTAAGAGGTCTGTTGTATATAATGTTAACATTTTTTTCAGGCACTTGATTTATTGGAGAAAAATAAATTCAATTCATTTCTAATGACGAGTTTGAAACCCCTGGACGATGTCCTAAAAGGTGGATTATTGTTCTCTTCAATCACAGAAGTCATTAAATTGTGGTTTTTTTTAATAATTTAAAAAAAAATTAAATTTTTAATAGCAGCAAATTCACTGTCGAGTCTTCAACTTGTTTGTAGTTTGTTGTTTAATTTTCTCAGATTGCTGGTCCACCTGGATGTGGTAAGACTCAGTTTTGTTTCATGCTGTCGGTGAATTATTTGACTTTTAATAATGAGCACGTTGGCAATGAACAAATAAAGAACAGTGAGAATCATCTTCAGCTGCTATCAGACGAAGGTTTGCTATATGGGAACAAATTTAGTAATACAACATTACAATAGAAATGAACAACTTTAATAAAGAGTTAAACATTGCATCAGGATCGGGATTATGTTGTGGAGAAACCAATATTCAATCAAATGCTTGCAGCAAAAAACTTAACAAATCAGTTGTATACATAGACACAGAAGGAGCTTTCGATGTTGACAGGCTTGTATTATTTTTTCATTTACTGGAAGATTGTAAAAGTTTCTACATTGGTTTGACTAGCAATTTGATTCGTGTAATATTTTTGTTTTTCATAATGGCGACGATTGCAGTTACAAAAAAGGCAGAATACTTTAGTTGTTAGGTTTTCACTGCATTTAATTAATAATTTCTTCAAACTAATGTTTGATTTGTTCATCGTGAAAATGTTGAAAAATTTTCTTAATGTTAATTTGTAACATTTAAATTATTATGTTAGTAAATGTTTGTTTGAACTATTATTACAGACTGTTAGAGATTGCTTCAGCAAGATATGGAAATGTTTATGTGAATGAACAATCGTTGTTGGATATGGTTTCCAAAGTTTATGTTTTCAGAGAAAGATCCCTGCAAAGCTTGGTGAACAGGTTGTTGTTTGTTTCACTAGATTCATGTAACACACAAATAAATAAATTTGTGCTGTAAGAAATGTTTCGTCCTTTCTTTCTTACAATTTTTCACAATGAAACCTTTTTTAGACTAGATTCATTGGAGGATTTTGTAGTGATGCACAATGTAGGCCTTATAATACTGGACTCCATTGCTTCATTAATAAGAAGAGAATTTAATGCCAGCATAAGGAGCAACATATTTGAAAGGAACAAGGTGCTGACAAGGCAGGCCACGCAGCTCAAACATCTGGCATCCTCCTTTCACATTCCCGTTTGTTAACTTGTCATTCATTATAAACAGTTTTGTGATAATTTATTTCCGTTTCTTCATTATCATATTGTCCTTATCAAACATGAAGTCGATTTGCGTAAATTTTATAGCATGAGATAACAAATAAAACATGGAGTATTTTACATATTTATTACAATTTAATGGCTTTTTGTGCCTAATGCTATATGTCGACAAAATTTTTTAAAATGTTTGTGCATGAACGTGTACTGGTGGAGTGAATGCCTTACCCTAAATTGCATTGATTAGTTGTTTTGATTTTATCTACCTCCATATTTATAATTAATAAACAAATTGGTATACATTGTTTATACATTCAAACATTTCGATGGTTTTGGGTCAAAGATATTGTTGAAGTAATGAAATTCATTTCACGCGCACATCTATTTTATTTGAAGATGTGTCGTTATCTGTTTGTGCTTGGATGTGTCTTGAAAAATCTTTGAATGCTAATTTGCTCAGTGTTCAAACTTAGAAACATTTTGAAGATCATTACGTCTAATATGTTTTTCTCTTTGGATTAATTTTTGTTGGAAACATTCATGAGAAATGTTTGACTAAAAAAATGTTAATGTGAATACTCAGTGCACATAATTACAAAACTTAAAATGCATCACTCAGGTAATAATAACAAACCAAATAACGACTCAGTTTAAAAAGCCAAGTGACGTTAACATTCTGCACAAAGATAATTGCAAAGTTGATGAAGACAACAAGTGTTATGCTTTGGATGATACAACTAAAAACGAATCAACAGTTTTAGCATTAGGTACCTACTGGACACACTGTGTTAACTCAAGAATTCTCCTTCAATACACTGAAATGCACACCCTAAGAGAAGTTAGATATTCTTTAAGTTTAAAAGTGACGTTACAGTTTTAAACTTATTACATCTCGCCTATTTTTGATCAGTGGTTAACGCAATACATTCAATTATTTGGTTTTGAACAGTATCTTATTTGTTACATTGTTCAGTTACGTATGTAGTTCAATTGTATTATTCATTTGAATTAGTCTTATGACATGCAAAATTTTATATTAAATCATCAAACTAAATTTTCGATTAATAGTTGTGCCTTGTAAAATCGTCCCAAGCTCCTCCATTGAAATTGTTTTACACGATTGATTCAAGCGGATTAAATATTGAAGGTTATACAGTTTTGAGTTCTTACTATTCTTAATAACAATATTTTTTGTACGAAATCAGCGGTAAGAATAAAATTATCATGTTTTTGCGTTTTGTTTTTTCTGTGACAAATTAATATTTGATTAAACAGGTGAACCTGAATTTGAATATTGTGTCGGTTCTGGCGTACATACAAAGTACGGTTTGCGTCCAACATCTTGCTGAATGATTATATGCTTGATGTGCATACGAACTGGAAAAAACATTAATTGTATATATATATACTATCTTTTTTCTAAAATATTTTTTCTGCTGACATTTTTTTGTATTATGTATGTCTTGGTTTTCATCGATTCTTTGAAAAAATAATCCCTGGTTTAAAAAAGTTTCCTAGATGTTTAAAGTAAGACGTATATATGGATTGAAATTAATCAAATTAGCTTCATGTTCCAATTTTTACGTTTATTCCTGGCTTTTACTTCATTGATTTTTACACATTGTTTCGTTTTAAGTATGACCCATTACAAAAACGGATCTAATATTTAACAACCATCAACAAATCTCAGCCCCATCCAGAGAAAATTTTGGCTCCCCCCGTAAAAATTTAGACATTTTTAAAATTTTAGCCCCCCCCCCGTCAAAGTTGTCTAGATCTGCCACTGCATTACATATTGTTGTAACCTCGTAACTGTTTGCTTCCTTTTTGCCGAGATCTGTTAAAGGCCCATTAACTCCTAATGTCCATTGATGCAGCCATCGATCGGCCCTTATATCTTGAATCTTGAGATTTTCATCATTTTAAAATAGTGACAAGATTAAAAATGACAACGATTTAACGTCTGTCTAGTTTTTTAATTTTAAAATAAGCTCTAAAAATATAAACTTGTGATGTGTTGTATACTTTAATAATAAATATTTAAATCTAAAAATGATTTGAAAAAAATTCACCAAATCCAAAGAATGCAATTATTTTGGTAGTTGTACTTGCTGATCGTTGCTTTGCCTCTAATCTTCAGTTTGCGTCAACGTACGACGCAGTTTGCATGACAGCGTTGAAATACAACGTGTAGTTCCAGTCTATACTTTTATGTTTATATAACAAACATTTTCACGGTTTTACGTTTTTGAAATTAACATTAAAAGCCAAATTAATATTAAGCAAGATTAAAGCCTGTAATTATTTAAATAACCTTTCTTAACAAAGTAGCAGCACAACGGATCGACAGCAAAACTAGCCCAATTATATCCTGACGTCAAGTCACACCGGTTTGGAGTGTTCTTCCAGATGTTTTATCCCATACACTTGTCATCTTTGGAGCACATGTGGGAGCACAGGATGAATGCTTGATCCCAGAGATAAGTTTGGAATGTTTGAGTTTTGTAAAAAGAATTGCGGAAACAAACTGCCTGGCCGCGACAATTACGGAACTTTTTGAAACAGGAAAAAGATTCTAAACTAACCTGCACAAACCCTTCTGCCAATAATGCTATTAAATATTTCAGCAGCATTCTCACAATTGCAACTGGAAAAAATGTTACAAATTTATACTCTCCAATATATTAAGAACACATCTAAGCCAATAGTTATTAATAGCGTGATTAGATTCACTTGAGTGAACTTTTTGCTTTCAAAATATTTTTTCAATGAATACAACAGATAATGATTAAGTACATATTTACATGAATAACGATGTTTCATAGTTCTACAAGTTTGCAAAGAAACACTCGATAAAATCTTACTGGTGCAATCTTACTGGAACATCACGGAAATAGCACTTTATAAGCTAATTGATTGATTGATTGATTGATTGATTGATTGATTGGTTGGTTGATTGATTGATTGATTGATTGATTGATTGATTGATTGATTGATTGATTGATTGATTGATTGATTGATTGATTGATTGATTGATTAATTGATTGATTGGCTGGTTGGCTGGCTAGCTGGCTGGCTGACTGACTGACTGATTGATTGATTGTTGATTAATTGATTGATCGATTGATTGATTGGTTGCAATAAAAATAATACTCACTAATCACCATCAAAACAAGATTCTCAATTGTTTCGTTATCACCGCTGTTTCATTTTAATAGAATTTTTATTTTATATTTAACACTTTGATAAAATATGCTGCTAATAATCTTAATATACAAAAAATAATAAGAAGAAATTAAAAAATAAAAAAATAAAAATTTATTATTGAGAAGTAAATATTGTCTACATACGAAAAAACAATGATGAATCTGTGACATGCTAAGCGAAACAATTGCAATCGAATCAAACAATAAAAAAATGCTGGTATTGCACAAATTTTCATTAAGTTCCATTATATTTTATTCAGATAGAAATACACGAAACCGAAATAAAAGAGAGCGAATCGATGTGATTCATGATAATAAATCATGCATTTCTGCGATTAAACCACAGCTGAACGTTCTTTACTATCAACAACTTTAAATAAATTTCCTACATACATATTATTTTAAATTTTAAACACAAGAAAATATATTGCTATTAATAAACTCACAATAGTTAAACCACTGAATATACATTTGGTTGTTGCGTGTTTGAATTTTTATGGCTCAATATTAGTGAAAACCATATCAACTCCGTTTTACTTTTTTTTTTTTTTTATCATACGTCAGATCATGTCTTAATTTTTCACAGTTACTTTCTAAAACTTAACGCACTTGACTCTTACTTTTAATATCTCAATGCGAAATCTCTAAAAATAAATCATATTGTATAAAAGAACTGAAAATTAGATCACACACAAAAATTTTTTATACCATTTTCTGTTTAAAACTTACCATAGCCAATTCTTGTATGAAGTATCGGTTATACCAGTAAATAATAAATCATTTCTTTAGGTTAAAAATATGCAACGTTTTGTGTCTTTCGTCTCAATAATGGGATTGACAGAATTTGGGATTAGTTGTTTGATATTTTTTAGTCATAAAGGTCACCATGGTTGTTTTATCAGCAAATTATTTATATCTTAAAAAATAATACCGTCGTTGGAGCTAGCGTGTTTTTCGCTTTTTTGGGAAACTTTTTATTAAGTTTGTAATTGAAATTATATTTTGTCAATTTTTAAATATTGATAACAGGTTACATTATCATTTTTTCCATCTGGCTTATTCCTTTGTTTTTTAATTACACAATATTGATTGTGTAACAAGTAAACAAAGACAACAAGTAAACCGCGAATAATTTTTTTTGTTGGCTTAAAATACAATCACATGTAAATAATATAAAATGCATACAGGCAATAAATACTGATAGAGAAACCTGCCTAATTTGGACGACGACTGTATGCTCTCATAAAAATGTTGTTCACTTTAAAAAAAATATAAAATATATGTATATCCATGATCACAAGGAATATACATGTATAGATATTTACAAAAAATATACATATATAGATGTTTACAAAGAATATACATATTTACAAAAGTGCATATTTATCTAGGGAGTCAAGCAGACAGCCCTGTTATGCTCATGTTGTTTCCCTGGAGACTGACGGTAACCGCTGCCTTCATCTTCAACCTTACATTTTGGTCGAATGATGTATTTCTTGCAAGATGGTTCTGGTACTCTGGCTCTTTCAACCACATGTTCATGATGTTCAAATATATGTTCATGATGTCTTTTTCGCAAATCAACCAATACTGATCAACAACGATTTGTCGATCAACAAACTTTCATGCAAACGACAACAAATTTAAATTTTTTTGGCGACAATCAAAATTTTATAAATCCAAATTGTCTAATTTTGTATACTTACTCCCCGCCTATCCAACAACCAACTCATTCAGCACCAAACGATCAACAACCAACCTATTCTTTATACAATCAACCATCCTCATAATATTGCGCATACAACCAACCTTCTACATATTATTATTGTTCACCAACCCAAACGTCTGCTTATTTTTTCACATAAAATCAACCATCTACACAAAATTTCAAACCAATCCAACAACCAACGTATTATCTTACACCAACTCAACAAGCAGCAATTAATTTCCAACCAAACCAACAATGGCATACTTCACACCTACCACTTCAAATCCAAACGCTGAAGTCAACAGCATTTAACTTGACTCCACATTAGTCGCACCAAGTACTTCAACTGCAACGTCCCCCCATCTACCAGTACAACCGCTACTTCAACTCCAAATGCTGATGACAACAACATACAAGTTTACGCCACGTCAAAAAATGGTAAAAGACGTGTGTACATGACAAAAGAAAGGACACAAAAATTCAAAGAATATTACCAGAACCACATAGCATTTCCGTATCCTGACCAGGAAACGAGAGAATTCCTGGCCAGTTAGTGTGGGATCGCTTATTCCCAAGTGTCGAAATGGTTCAGTAACAGGAGGAACAAGGACAAAAACACGCGAACGTTTGCAGAAATTGTCGTTGGGAGAAAAAGAAAGTGACTTTCATTCCTTTGATGTAAATATATCCGTTTAAACTTCAATTTAAACTTTTTCCATTTTTTGAACGTTTTATTTTTATGTATGCGTGAAGTTAATTTATTTTATTATTTTTTATTATCTATTTTTTTTATGTTATACATCTGCGATAGTTTTTAATGTATATAATTTAGCATACCTTTTCATTTTGTGATATCAATTTTTTTCAAGTCATTTTTACATTCTATTATATTATATTCCATTATATTCCATTTACATTTTACATTATAATACGTAATCACTTTTGTTATGGTTTACAGATTAATCTTTTCTTCTTTAATTTTTCTTTTTTGAATTTTATTTTTTTAGTTTTTATCTACCATTTTTATCAATAAACTTTGTGATACAATAAATTTGAAAATAATTAGAGCATTTTCTTTCCATTTATTTCGTTCATTTTTGAGGTTTTCATCAATAAAATATCAAAGTTCTTCAGATGACTAATGAATGTATTAAACTTTTTATGACTCGTTATTTTAAAACTACCTGTTTTTCATTCAATTCCAAGAAGGAAATACAATTAGGACATTGAAAAAATCTTTTTATTTCGATTAAAAATAAACAAAACTATAAAAAGATAGAACTATATAGTAATAAGTGAAAAAATCAAATCGATGTATATATTCATTTTTTGTATTGAGATTTAAACCATGCTTCTATTTTATTATTTTTTATTATCTATTTTTATGTTATACATTTGCGATAGTTTTTAATGTATATAATTTAGCATACCTTTTCATTTTGTGATATCAATTTTTTGGAAATTAATTGCTGCTTTTTGGCGACAATCAAAATTTTATAAATCCAAATTGTCACATTTGAAAAACATTTTAAACTACCGATTCAGTATTCATTTTATGTTGCTCGGTTTCAATTTTTAATTGCCTTTCTGTTGCATGACAAATCTGTTTATTAAATGTTAGGAATAGTTTATTGGTAGCCGTCTGTTATTGGCAATGTTGTTAATGATTGTTAATGCATTGTTCCTGTTGTTATTCAATTGTAATATATGTGTTCTTGTATACTTTTTTATGATGATGATATAGAAAAAGAATACGTATATAAAAACCAATCATTTCAAGTTTCAGTTGTATAATTTAAATGTTTTTAAAGTTATAATTTTGAAATTACGATATAATTTATAAGATATAATTTTTCTGAAGTGTTCTTTATTTATGTTATGATTTATTATATACAAAAAATAAATTTATTTTAATTTTTTAAGTTCGTAACTAATAATCTGGTTCTATCATAATTTAAACATTTTGTATTTTTAGCCTTCTTCAGATGTAAAGTTAGTTTCCGATAATATTTCTGCAACGTTAATAACTGATGTGATGTCAAGCGTAAATTTGGTTCGTATTTTTATATCTATATATTATCAAGATTGTGTTAAATTTTAAGCCACCAAGTGTTAAAAATTTCAGTTTTATTATTATTGGTTGCAAATTCCGGTAAGAAAATTTTATAAATTAGAAACTATTTTTTCACTAAACATTTTTTGTTGAAATTGTATCATTGCTTCCAACCCAAAAATTTATTCTAACGTAAAAATTCAGTCAGGATCATCTGTAATTGTTCTTCAACTTCATCAGAAGTGCAGGTTTGAAATTATATAAAGTAATTTTTAAAACACTTTAACTTCGTTTATTATAATTTAACTTAGGAAAATGCAATGACAATCCCAATGTACAACAGTTGGAAACCATCTTTAAACGAGTTTATTTCAGATGTGGGATTGTCCCTGGGAAAACAGGTTATTCAAAAATTAAAATTACATACCTTTTAAAAGATCATTATCTAATTTTTCAGGCAATGTACAGGAACAATTAATAGAAGATTCTGAATTTAAAATACCCGAAGAACAATTTCAACATATTTTTGAGGAAACTAATTTAGAACTGGAGTTTCTAAATCAAAACACAATGTCAACCATTATCGATAATGCAGTGGCATATATTGTGGATGGGTGGTTCGAAAAGTAACCCAGATGATAGATTGTAATCAATGCAGGCTTGCACTTGTTGAAACAAAAGGTAGAGTCGCCATGTTTTACCAACAACTACTTATATTAAAGGACGACGGTGGTTTGGTTTTTCCTTCTCGTGGTGTCGTCAAGGTTATTTAAATAAATGATTTATAAAAATTTTTGCTTTATGCTTTTTCTATATCATCATCATAAAACAGTATACAAGAACACATATATTACAATTGAATAACAACAGGAACAATGCATTGACAATCATTAACAACAGTGCCAATAACAGACGGCTACCAATAAACCATTCCTAACATTTAATAAACAGATTTGTCATGTAACAGAGAGGCAATTAAAAATGGAAACCGAGCAACATAAAATGAATACTGAATCAGTAGGTTCAAATGTTTTTAAAAGGTTGGCCAATGAAGATTTATTAAATCTCAAAGAACATATAACAGATACATTTAATGGATTTAATAATCATTATTTTTGTTTACTTAGACCAAGGAGAGGCCTATTTACCAGCATACCACACCTTCTTATGGGTTGAAGCAGGGATATGCAAAGAACCTCAATTTTTTCAACTTTTAATTATTTTCAGTAATGTCTCCCCTTGCTCCAAACCACATAACTAGAATAATAGGACTAATCGATCAATTCGATCTATCGGTCGGGCTATTTGTCGTGCTTGGATTGTTGGCTTACGAAATTGCATGGATTTTAACGAGCAAGCTAAATGAAATATTTACTTGATTTAATATGCTAAAAACATTGTAGTAATTCTATTTAATTTTAATAATGATTAATAGAATTATGTATTATTAAATTATTTTTGTTATTTTGAATATAAAAATTGCTTTTGGTCCGGTGAAATCCGGTGGCTTACTGAAGCCGAAGGTTGGCTTAGTAGGATTGAACTATAGTCACCCTTTTTTTTACACTATTCGATCATGTTAAAAATTGGTTTGCTCATGGAATAAACGGCCTAAATAAATCAAAATTGTTATTTGAACAACTATCTTCATTATATTCAATGAATATTTTACATTCTGCTGGTGCTCATAAAAAACTGGCTGCTGAAATCATACGTTGGCTTACAGGGTTTCATAGAACTCTTACGATAACACTTTTTTGTACATATAATGCTTTAAATAAATCAATATATTCATATCACAATTATTTTTGTCAGTATAAATATAGAAATTGCTTTTGTCAGGTGAAAAACAGTGGCTTACTGAAGCCGTAGGTTGGCTTAATCGGATTTTTTCTCATGTATACAATACTATGAGATAAATCAATCAAACAATCAGTCAGTCGGTCGGTCGGTCAGCCAGCCAGCCAGCCAGCCAGCCAACCAGCCAGTCAGTCAGTCTGTCAGTCAATCAATCAACCAACCGATCAATCAATCAACTAAATTGAATGAACCAAATAAACAAAAATAAAAACAATAAAAAAAATTTGCAAGGCCTGTTCAAACTCGAACAAACAGTTAACCGTACAGATCTAAAAACAATTTCGAGATTTTAGTAAAGAAAGAAAAACACAGTAGTTGCTTTTATTTGAATTCATTCAAAAATGAAAAGTGACGGTTAATTAAAATTTTAAAATGTCATTTTTTTTTAAATTCGTATTTTAAATAAACAAATATAACAAAATATCGACCGATAAAAAATAATTATTACCCATTATTATCATACACACTCGTTAGTAGTTCTCTAAGAATGATTCACGTAACAATAACATTTAGCAAGAATAGTTCACAGCATAACATAATGGCTAAATCAACATACCAAACAGTAATTATTTATACATGCATATACACAAAGTTAATCAAGAAATATCCAAAAATTATATAACCAAATTAAAAAAAACTAGAAACCAGTCAACATTTAATAAATAAATAGACATTAATAAAAAGATTGTTAAAAAAAAGGTACAATTTAAGGCGACGACGAGAATGAAATGTAGTTTGTTTTGTTGGTGTGGTATTGTGAAGCGAAAACAAACACATCACACAAAACTAGTAAGAAGTCGCAAGAATAATAGTCAGTCACCTACCTATAATAAAATTACTCTCAGGGCCCTAGCTTACTTGACTCAACTCACTTACCTACCAATTTGTATTTCTCGTTTTAAATGTTTCAAGTATTTTATTTAACATATTTTAGCGTTTTTATTTTACTTGAAGCTTTTTAATTAATGTCAAGCCCTAGCCAATTGTTTAACTCATCTCAGTCCCTAACTTACCTATGAATTAAATTAAAGCCCGGTTCACGGTAAAGAAAATATAAAGTTGAAGAGAAACATAGCAACAACGACACCGAATGAATGGATGTTATGTATGTATGTGTTGTATTGATGTGTGTTGTTCAAATTCGAGTACTTTCAAAGGTACAATGAGACAAAAACAAATTTACATTTAACATTATCTTCGATTTGTCATCGGAACGATCATCATAAGACCTCCATCTGAAACGTGCTGATGCCCACCACAGCCCACCTCTCATCATTCTGTAGACATTTTTTTAATAGCGTATTAGTAAATCACGGAACAAAGGAACGATCGAATAAATGATTAACTGAATGATTGAATAATTGGTTGAATGAATGAGTGAATGAATTAATTAATTAATAAATCAATGATTCACATAATGAATCAATTAATAGAAGAATAATTTAAAAGGTTGAGTGATAAAATGAACGAATGAGAAAAATAAAAAACGAAACTAAACCTTACTTCAAAAATCGTCGTTACTGTACTTTCCATTGCACCGACCACCACCATCTGGTCGGCACACAAAATACCATCCGAACTTCAGAGTATCAGTCGAACAGCCAACGAGCTGATTCTTCTTACACCACCATCATCATATGTAAATCATCATGAGACCACCATCTAAAACGTGCTGACTCCCACCACTGCCCACCTCTCGTCGTTCTGTAAACAAAATTTTTTTATTTGCGTAGTAGTAAATGAATGTTAAAAGCTTAGAAGCAAAAAAAATTAAATTATAAAATGAAAATAATGTCAAATAAATAAAATTTTAAAATAATAAAGTAAAATGTAAAAAAAACTTACCGTCGTCCATTCGACAAAGGCAGAATGTTGAATGCGGTCCGGTTCCTACGTTGTCCTCCAAAACTGGTGCCAGTCCTCCTCGAGATTGTTGAAACACAGCCCGTGTTGGAGAAAGATAGAGAAAGAGTAGATTCTCATCAGAAAGCTTAGCGGTGCCTGCATCTCAAATTGCTTAATAAAAATAATCCTATCTACCTATTCAATTACCTTAACTAATCTATATTAAATTGTTAATGGTACGATAGTCGAAAGTCCCCCTTCATTCTTCCTCCTTGCACAGAGGTTCACCGACAGCCAGGGCACCGGATAGAAAACCATTGCCGTGCGGATAGTAGACTATTGCCGTACGGATAGTAAACCATTTGCCGTCCGGAAGCCGTGCGGGTAGTAGACTATGGCCGTGCCGCATGGTAAATCATTACCGTGCAGATAGTAAACCATTGCCGTCCGGATAGTAAACCATTGCCGGTACACCACTGGCCACCAAGGCTTACCTCTGACAACAGACTTCGAAATTCAGAGTCTATCGGCTATCGTACCCTCAACTTACCTATTCATTGCAATTAAGCCCTAGCTTACCTAAAATTACAAAAAAACTCAAGAGCCCAATTCATTTGCCAGTCGGCACCCACCCCACCACCTACGTAATGCCTTGGGCTCCAACTTAGTAATAATAGAAAACTTAAACCCTAAATTTATTAATGAGTGTGTGTTACAACGTAGCCTTAACTTACCTATTCATTACATTATGGCCCTAGCTTACCTAAAATTACAAAACTGAAGAGCCCAATTCATTGGTCTTTCGGCACCCACCCTACCACCTACGTTATGCCTTGGGCTCCAACCTAATAATAATAATGTAAAACTTAATAACTAACTTACCTCTCGATAAACTTATAGCGTTTATTTAATTTAAATTACAAGATTGTTCCTAGAATTAAATTATTGCTTTTAACTACCTATGAAATTAAATTACTCTCAACCTTAGTAATAATAAATTAGAATGTGTAATGAAAATAAAATAACGCTCAAATACTAATATGTGTTTATGTATGTATTTGTGTGTGTGTATAATACGCTGATGCGTGTAATGTGGTGCGAGAAAAAATAAAAGAGATAAACTTACGCTGCCTACCTATTCAACTACATTAGTGTTGGATGCTTCCTATCTATCCTACCTACAATTAAAATTATGCCTATCTAACCTACCTATATAGCTACTTAATGTAATTGTGTGTATGTGCGTGTGCCTGTGAGCATTCTTACTTAATGTTAAATTACAGAGAAAAACAGAGAAAAAAGAATAAAACGTATCCCAGCCAGGCGTATCTTCTTTGCCACTGAATAAACGAACGTAGCCTGACATCTTCCACGATGAATTCCTTTGGAAGCTTCAACCTGAATAAAATGGATGAAATGGAAAAATCTTATTTGACTAATTTAAATAAAAATAGAAAAACGAGCCGCGGTGAAACCCGTCGGAAAAGCCAGCCAACTGGCAAAAAAAGAACCGCAAAGAAACCGTAAAATGTACCCCAGCAGGGCGTGCATTCTTTGCCACCGAATGAACGAACGTAGCGTGACATCACAACCATTCTGATCGTCCACGATGAACTCCTCTGGAAGCTTCAACCTGGATAAATGAACCTGAAAAACCTAAATGAATGGGAAAATCTTATTTATTCAATTTAAATGAAAATAACCTCAACCTAACTCTATATAACTCAATATAACTCTATATAACCATGCATACTACCACATTCAATCAATGAAAATACCACTAAAACCAGGAACCACCGCGTACCTGCTGAATGTATGATATGAAACAAAACAAAAAAAAACACAAAACAAAAATCACACCACCAAGTAGAGTAAAAGAATAGGAGTCCCTAAATTACCTTATGCCCTAGCCTACCTATATAATAAATTAATTTTTACCTCACCTACCTATGCTTATTAACTTAACTCAAGACTCATGAAGAAAGAGAAAAAGGAGTAAAACAGAACATAAAATACTACCACACAAACAAACATGATGTATGTAAGAGCAACCGTTAAAGAACCCACCTAAAATTAAAAAAATACCACCTAAAAACATTCAAACCACCTAAAAACATGCAAACTCTATATAACTCTATATAACACTATATAACTCTATATAACTTTATATAACTCTATATAATAAAATAAATAAAAAAAATTTAAAAACAAAATAAATGAGATCAGACAGAC